TTGTTATGATTTGTGCCTTTTTTTTTTTATGGGACTGTTAAATTGCGTTTGTACTGTGTTTAATTACCCTTGGTGTTGTTTTGATGGAATTCTATAGAAATGGAGATGGATCATGTATTCATGTGTCATAATAACCTTCAAAAGGCTCCGAAGAAGGTCAAATATCAAGATTTCATTGTCATGGCACTACTTCATTCCTTGAATGGTCTGCTGTATTCATAGTGATCACCAAATCAAAAACAGATGATAGTACAATTGCACATATATGTAATCTCAGAAATAGACTGCTGAAACTTCAATTTGAATACATGACCAAATAATAATAATCATGCACCCGCGCAATTTTGCTATGGACTGTCATCATATAACACGACTTATGGTGTCATTCACAATTATTCACAAACAATGTATTGTCATGTGCCCTAATATAAATACATGAATATGTTAGTTCATGGATGTCTCCACAAGAAAGCAATCCATTAGTTTCGCAGAATTTCTGTACACATGGTACATGAATAAAATTTAATTGATTTGGACAAAAAAGAAGCACAAACAAACGTAATTGGCTTTAAAAACATATAAATCATTCAAACTTGAGTCAAACAACATAATTTTACTTAGGAAACAGCTTTTTTTTTTTTTTTTTTTTTTTTGGGGGGTTGAGGCTATCCCCCTGACCTGTGAATATAATGGCCCAGCTAGGGCTAAAGAAGTCAAGGGTCTACATCCGAGTCGGAAATACATAGAGCAACATCAAAAGCAGAAAAACTAAAAAATAAAAAGAAAAATAAAAATAAAATAAAATACAAGGAACACAAAATATCCACTGAGGATCTAAACTCAAACCCTCATACATGTCGACCTGGTCAGAGTGACCAGGCATGGAGTCCAAAATGTCAAATCTAGTCAGGGGCAGAAGGTGGCGGTCGACCGAATCTGAAGGATGGGTACTCTAACTGGTCCATCCGAATGAGCGTCCGAAGCCGGAGAGGGATGTCCTCAGGAAGAAGGGTGCGTCTCTGGGGTATAGATGCTCTCGTGCTAGCAAGGAAATCAGCTGGCCGGTTCCCCTCCCGGAATATGTGTGAGACCTGGTACTGGATCGAGCGGAGGGTGTCTCTGATACGCATAAGAGGGTGATGGATCTGCCATGAGCCCTGGTGGCCAGATGTCAAAAGTGTGATGACAGCCGCAGCATCCATCTCTATCCAAACGTGAGAGGAGATCGAGGCGGCAATCTCAAGGCCAATCTGGAGCGCCTGAATCTTTGCATCATAACTCGAGGAGGCCCGGAGTGGCCCATGGAAGGCGGAGATGAGAGCCCCCTCATGATCCCTAATCAGGCCCCCTCCTCCAGCAGCTCCGGTGTGTCTGTCAAAAGCGCCATCAGTGTTTAGCTTAACCCAAGGGGCCTTGGGTTTCAGCCAAACAACGGTCCTGGGTCGTGAATGCTGGACAGGTGAAGGAGGTGGTGGCCTCAAACGATGGGGCGATGTATACCCTGTCCAGTCTCTCGTCGTGAGTCTACCCAGGGCAGTGAGGAGAGAGAGGTGTCTGTCAACCTGCAAAATAATGTGAGCACAAGAAAATATAATATCCCTATGCTTCGCATTATTCCTTTCTGTCCAGGTGGCCCAAAGGATCAGACAAGGAATAAGGAAGCCCACGTGTCTAATGTGTGTGCGGTGAGCGAAAAAACTCAGAAGGCTCAAAAAACTGTCTGTAGTGGGTAGGGGTACATGAGTATATCTGGCATAGTGCTCCCACACTCTCCTCACAGTTTCACTCTCAAGGAAAAGATGGGTGAAAGTCTCAATCTCAAAGGTACCGGTCTCAGCACAACAATGGCAGCGAGAGAGGAAGGAAAACCCTCTCGCCTGCATCACAGTGTCAATGGGAATACGTCGTAAGAGGAGGCGCCACAAAAAAAGGGAAATGGTCGGGGTGAGAAGGTCTGTCCATATGGCCCCGAAGAGGCGGTTTGGCCGGTTACCCAGCCTCACTTCTCCCCAGGCTGATGACGTAGAGAATGCACCCGAAGATGTAAGTCTCCACCTCATGCCATCCAAACCTCCTTCCATGATGGGAATCTGTCGGATCTTGTCAATCTCAAGACTACTAAAACCCCCACCCTCACCAAGAATATCCTCCATCTTATCTCTATCCCAAAATCCTCCCGTCCAAAGGTCCTTCACCTGCATGAAAGGCAGGTGAGTGACTGGCCTAGTACTCGAGAAAGGGGCCTCGCCGGACCACCACTCGTCCCAGAAGCTAACCTCCCCAGAACCCAAGGTCCAAAATCTGTGCTTCTGAGCACGTCTGCCAACAGTGGTGAGACGTCTCCACTGTCGACTATCCCGAGTGGTGGCTATCACCCTGCAAGGATGAGCAACACCACCAGGGCAATATTTCCTCAGGAGGTATTGGGCCCAAAGGGGCTTGCCCTCCCTAAGGCGCCACCACATCCTGTAGGAAAACGCAGTAACCATATAAGAGAAACGCCTAACCCAGAGCCCACCCTCAGAGTGGGGACGGCAGATGGAGTCCCACTTCACCTAGTGGGTCTACCGCCGACCTCGCGGTCCCTCGCCATAACTCCAAAAATAGCGAGCTAAGATCTGATCTAACTCATGAATCGTAGACTGGTGGGGGTCAAGCACCGCGAGAAGGTGAAGAAGAAGGGCACAGAGAGTGCTCTTGATCAGAACAAGTCGGCCTCCGAATGATAAGTGTCTATGAGACCAGCCAGAAATCCGGTCAATCATCCTCTGACGGACGCCAATAAAAAGCTCATGAGAAAGATGGCCTTTGTACAAGGGGGCCCCAAGGTAAGGGATGGGTAAGTCCCCACGAGCAAATCCAGTACGCTCGTGAATCTGGTGAGCCCAACGGTCCGCAACGTGGTGGTCCATGATAAATGAACTCTTGCTAACACTGACTAGCTGACCAGATGTCTCACTGTAGTGGTCCAAAAGACGCATGAGAGCAACTAGCCCATTATCATTCGCACAACTAGCTTCATATTCAGATATTTCATCATGTTTTTTCTTAGAAACACTCCATAACTTTATTTCCCCTAAATACACCCACAACATTCTACTATAACCATATCTGAATCTGGACTTTCAAAAGGACAACTATTTGTTGTTTCCCTTTTCAGATAATTTGAAAGTTTCTCTGATTTACTTGTAATACTTAGGCCTCGTTACTTTGGTATAGGACGGGGAATAACTAAAATTATCCCCAAATAGCTAACGTTTACTTTAAAGGATTGAGATAAGATTCAACCGGTGTGGCGTACATGTGGTATGCGGGGCCCACATGCGTATCACGTAAAGGTCGATTAATTTCATCCCACCATGACCTTGGGATTTTTTAATCCCGACATAAGGATGCCTATTTTGCCCTCATTAGTGGCAGGGAAAAGACAAAAATACCCCTCAACATCCATTTATTTACAATCATATACCATATAAATTTTCAAAAAACTGTTTAATTTGCCTTAATCTTGCAATCGTGCGTGCAGAGGGAGGTGGAGCTCATCGTTCATTCCGTCGCCAAAACTTGACACATTTGTAATACACTAATACTCATCCTATTATTTAAATTTGAATTAATAAAAATAATATTTAATTAATTAAATACAAATAGACGAACAAATTATTCAACATTTCTTAAAAATCAAGCACAAAATTTTTGCACTATTTTTTTTCCAACGGCATAAATATACTCATAAAAAGCCCAAAAAGGCAAATGAAAACACAGACGAGCCCCGAAGCCGGGGAAATGATAGGTTACACACACAACCAATGCAACCTAGACAGAATACCAGCTAGCAACGCTAGAATACCAGCACACTACCAACACAAAAATAAAAAGACCCCAACAGGGTAATACCAAAACACACAAAAATAAAAAGACCCCAACAAGGTAATACCCGAGCGTAAACTCCCAACAGGAGAATAAAGGCTACACTCGGACCACACGAGGGCCAACGGCCCAAACCAAAAACACAAAGACCAAACCAACATAAACACTACGAACACGCAACAAAGAAAAACAGAGACAAACAACAATAAGCTAACACGGAGCCCTTCCCCTACAAACCGAAACTAAGCTCAAACAGCAGTGAACGACCGACATAAAGAATGCCTAGAGCCCGAGAACCGCTACCGAAACTGCATGAACGCCTATACAGCAGGTGCCCTTAACCCCCGAGTCAGTCCCGCATCGACCCATCTCTAACCGAGAGAGCCCCAATCGAACCCCACGTCAGCCCCAACGAACTTATCTAACACCACTAGTCAAGCTCGAAAGGACCCAACCCCCCGCCGCATAACACCACTAGCCGACCAAGGAGAAGCGCGGGTGGCCAAGGCCCTCAACCCCAATAACCGCACCAAACCGGCACAGCAACCGGGATCCCACCCCACCCCACGGCTCCCACAACCCCCAGCACCACCACCATTTGCCAAAGACCAACGGCCCCGAAAAGGAGAAACCCCCATCAGAGAATCCAACCCATCCAATAACCAGACCGAAAGAGGAGCTGACCACCATGAACTAGGGCGCCGCCGTCAATTGACGAAAGCTCCACCAATCGTCGGTCGAACCCCAGCTGGGCGAGTCGCCGCCTCACACCGAGACCCCATCATCGACTAAAGGACCGGATCACCACAATCCAAACAAACAACGGAACCATCGAGAGCGCGATACACCGGGAGTGGGCCAGGCGGCCAAAGACAACCCCTGCTCGAGCTAAGCTATCGCAGAGGAAGGCGGAAGAGATTGGATTTTGGGGACGGTTTCGCAGAGAGTTTATTGGGGGAGGGTTTCTAAATTTTTGCACTATTATTCCTCATGAATTTCCTTTCTTCTACGTATCTCCCAAATTACTTCCATTCATATCTCTAAAAAATCGACCAAAATTAACACTAAATAATAAAAATTTTCAAAGGTGCATATTTAATTTTAATTAAGAGAAGATGCCTAAAATTTTACTAAAATCATGCACACGTGAAGTATATACATAATCTAACAAACTAATAAAATGGAACAATTCATTTAACTACTTCATTATTTAACAGAAATAAACTATTGTATTTAGAATTTGATATGGGATATTATTTACTAGACCGGTTCGTTGGGTTAGCCAAACAAAATAGGCCAGCGGTCTGGTCGAACGGGACCGAACATCCGCAATGAAAGAAAAAAGGTAGAGG